AAGCGTAGTGGGATCCCTTTCCCATGTGAGAGCATCGATGCCGGACCCCTTTGTTCCAGGGAAAGGACAACCGGTGGTTCGACGATGGCTCTTTTTAGTGGAAGAATATCTACGCTTGAGCCATGTGGCTGGTGAGGAGTGGGCGCCGTTTGCTGGAACCCTACTCCGAGGCTCTGCGGTTGCATGGTGGCAATCGGTGCGACCTGCTATCCAAACCTGGCAGCAATTCAAGGAAGCTCTCGTTGCGTCATACGAACCTATCAACGCGATGGCAAGGGCGCGTGACCGACTTGCAAATTTGCGGCAGCGTACTTCTGTAGCAGATTACATTGCAGAATTTCGTGACATCTCCACTGAAATTTCAGACCTTTCAACGGCTGAGGCGCTAGACAAGTTTAAGCGCGGGTTGAAAGAGGACGTTAGGATGGAGGTAGAGGTGCAGGGCTGTAGTTCGCTTGAGGAGATGGCGCGTGTCGCTGAACGTTACGATGAGATTCACTTTGGTAACCGTCGCAATCGTTTCAACCGTGGGATGCGGTTCAGTCCGAACATGTTCCAGCCTTTCCATGGGGAGCAGCGTGGTGGTGCAGGACCGACACCGATGGAGCTGGATGCGATTGATAAGAACAAGGAGAAGCGGAAGGGCTTTGCTGGAAATTGTTTCAAGTGTGGGAAGCGTGGCCACAAAGCACTCAACTGCCCTACCAAGCCTAGGCAGCCGGGAAACAAGCCTCACCAGTAGCTTCGGGGCAAGTTGCTGGTGGTGAGGAGTGCCCCACCTTGCTGACTCCATCCTCAACACCGCTGCAGCAGGAGTCGGAAGGAGCCATAGTACTTCGGGGGCAGATTCGTGGTAAGGAGGTAAAGATGTTGCTGGATAGTGGTGCTTCATCCAATTTCATTTCTTCTCGCCTGGTGCATGAATTGAAGTTACCTGTGCAGAGCAGTACAGTGGAGAGTACGGTGCGCATGGCGGATGGTGTAGTAAGGAGCTGTGGACCTGAGTTGAACCCGGTCAACTGCAACATAGGGGAGTTTCATGGGAAGATTCGGTTTCAGCAAATCTGGCTAGACAGTCATGACATCATCTTGGGCAGGAACTGGTTGGCAGCAGTGAACCCTCAGGTGAATTGGAGAACCAGGGAGGTCAAGGTGCTGTTTGGGGGAAGATCTGTACGCCTACCAGTGGTGCAGCAGCAGGAGAGGATGACCTTGCAGCTGATTACTGCGAAGCAGTTTGGTAAGGCCATTCGGGGGGAGGAAGCAGTTTTCCTAGGTCTTATCACAGAGGTCCAGCCTACATCACCTGACGTGGTAACACCAACGGTTTCAGCATCACATGAGGATGAGGAGTTAACACGGGGTGTAGAGAAGCTGCTGGAAAAATTTTCAGGGGTGTTTCCCGAGGACTTACCGGCTGGACTTCCTCCTAAGCGAGCTGCAGATCACAGGATAGAGTTGATTCCTGGATCTACCCCACCGGTGAGACCGACCTACAAGATGAGTGCAGTGGAGCTGAAGGAGCTGAAGAAGCAGTTAGAGGACCTGTTAGCTAAGGAGTTCATTCAGCCTAGTTCTTCTCCGTACGCTTCTCCAGTGCTGTTCGTGCGGAAGAAGGACGGTTCTCTGCGAATGTGTGTAGATTACCGTGGGCTGAACAAGATAACAGTGAAGAACCGGTACCCACTGCCACGGATAGATGAGCTGTTCGAGCAAGTTGGTGAGGCACGGTACTTCTTGAAGCTGGATCTGCGTTCGGGGTATCATCAGGTGCGGATTCAGAGTGAGGACATCCCAAAAACAGCGTTCCGAACACGGTATGGTCACTATGAGTTTCGTGTGTTGCCATTTGGTCTCACCAACGCTCCAGCCACTTTCCAAGGCATGATGCAGAGCATTTTCAGTGATTTCATTGACAAGTTTCTGGTGGTTTTCATTGATGATTTGCTGGTCTACAGTCGCACTCGTGAGGAGCACCTGAAGCACCTTGAGCTGGTCCTTGCACGTCTGAGTGGGCACAGATTGTATGCCAAGCGTTCAAAGTGTGAGTTTGCAAAGACCAAGCTGTCTTTCTTAGGTCATGTCATTTCACATGGGAAGCTGGAGGTAGACAACAGCAAGGTAGTAGTCCTGAAGGAGTGGAAGCAGCCGAGTACAGTGAAAGAGGTGCAGGCTTTCTTGGGGTTAGCTAACTACTACCGGCGGTTTGTGAAGGGATTTGCAGCAGTGGCAGCACCTCTGTCCGATCTCTTACGGAAGGACTCATCATTCAGTTGGGGACCATTGCAGCAGCAAGCATTTGAGCAGCTCAAAACTTCTCTTACTTCACCCCCTGCCCTAGCAGTACCAAATCCAGAGCTCCCATATTTCATTTGGTGTGATGCATCAGACGTTGCTCTTGGAGCAATTCTCTGCCAGGAGCAGGAAGCTGGGCTGCAGCCAATAGCCTTTGAGTCACGGAAGCTCACTGCTGCAGAGCGCACATACCCCATTCACGAGAGAGAGGCACTTGCTGTGGTGCATGCACTGAAGAAGTGGCGCTGTTATGTGGAGATGCAGTCCGTTACAGTCTTCACTGATCACCGAACACTGGAGTACCTGAAAACACAGTCACAGATCACACCACGGCAGGCGCGGTGGGTTCAGTTTCTGGAGCAGTACGTCCCCAACCTTCAGATTGTCTACAAACCAAGGCGCTTCAATCCGGCAGATGTTCTGTCACGACCAGCAGCAGAGGAGCTGAATGTCATGGGTGTGGTTACATGGGACCGCAACTTCATCACTCGTTTCAGCCGGGGTTACAATCGTGATCAGCTGTACCAACAGAAAGTCCCCCATGACCCATCCTTTCTTTTTAGCAATCCCTTTTGGACCCGTGCAGATTCTGGTGCTGTGTGTGTACCTGATGACTCCAGGCTACGCCAGCTGCTACTACATGAGTACCATGACAACCGGTCACACTTCGGCAGTGACAAGACATATGCTGCCATTTCTCGTGACTACTACTGGCCTGGACTGTCCCGGAGTGTAGCAGAGTATGTTTCTTCATGCCCTACCTGTCAGGTCAACAAGGCTCGCACCACTGCACCGGCTGGTCTGCTGCAACCATTGGAGATACCCACAGCCCCCTGGACTTGTGTTTCTCTGGATTTTATCACAGACCTATCCCGCACCCCTACAGGCTTTGATAGCATCCTCGTGGTCATTGACAAGCTGTCCAAGATGGCTCACTTCATCCCTACAACTGGCACAGTGACTGCTGCTGAAACTGCCAAGCTGTTTTTCACTCAGGTGGTGAGGCTACACGGACTGCCCTCAGCCATAATCAGTGACAGAGACACACGGTTCCTCAGCAACTTCTGGACTGCACTGTTTCAACTGCTGGGCACACAGATTCGACTCTCTACAGCCTACCACCCTGAAACTGACGGCCAGACAGAGCGCATGAACAGAACCTTGGAGGATGCACTACGCTCGTGTGTGAATTCTATGCAAACTGATTGGGATCAGCACTTGGCAGCAGTGGAGTTTGCCTACAACAGCAGCCCCAACATTGCCACGGGAGAGCCACCGTTCCTTTTAGCTACTGGACAGCTACCACGCTCAGTCACATCCCTCCCTCACTCTCTTCATTCCCCCAACCCCACAGCAGCAGATTTCATCTCTTCTCATCACCGCATTCTTCAACTTGCCCGAAGGAAGCTTCAGCTTGCACAAGAGCGCCAAGTTCGCTATGCCAACCAGCATAGGCGTCACACCACTTTCAGAGTTGGTGATTTGGTGCTGCTTTCAACGGCTAATCTGCCCTTGCTGAATGCTGGAACTTCTCGCAAGCTCGCACCCAGATTCCTTGGACCATTCCCCATCACCAAAGTTCTCTCACCGGTCAGCTACTGACTTCAACTCCCTTCTCACATGACCATACACCCTGTTTTCCATGTTCACCTTCTTCGTCCTTACCATACACCCTCTCACCCATTCCAGCCCCGCCCACCCATGTTCTCTGCCCATCCGGACCTGCATGAGGTCGACTCCATCCTCTCACACCGTGACACTCCGGTTGGCCGTGAATACCTCATTCACTGGCGCAACACCTCAACATCTGAAGACTCATGGGAGCCGTTCTCCAACCTCAGCCATGCTCCTCGTGCCATTGGAGTCTATCTTGCCTCATTGGCACCGAGGACGGTGCCTTCAGGGAGGGGAGGTAATGTAACAAGGGGCACCTGCGCGGGAGCCAGCGTGAAGTGCACGGGAGGCGGAAACATGCAGCAGCCGCGTGCAAGGGTGAACGTGGGCAGCGCAGGGGAGAACGTGGGCAGGACGTGGGGGACTCATGTGAAGAGGACGAAACAGAGGTTTCGTGCCTTGACTGACTTGGAAGGACTTTCGCGTGGGACAGGTGGCGGAAGTCCAGAGTTGAAGGAATAGGAGTGTAACACGTGTGTAATTGCAGTGAGTGGTACAAATGTAAATAGGAAAAGTAGAATGCGGTCCGATGTTGGGGCTGGCCACCCGAATCAACATCTCGAGCCGCATGTCTGAATTGTAAATGTACTGTACATATAAAAATGCATTCGTAGGATAGAGAGAGTAGTCTTTGCTGTTTCTCTTTCTGTTTGTTCTTCCTTGCTTCTAAGGAAAATCCTTTGGTGAAATTCTCAGCCAGAAACACTAGAACAAGCCCAAGAGCCGGTGAGCTTGTTCCAATAGCGAGGATGAGAGGGGGAGGGACGCGGGGTGGAGGGGAGGGAGGAGCGAGGAGGAGCGAGCGCAGATCGACAGCAGACACAAGATCTCCCTCGACGTGAGTACTGAGCGTCGCGTGAGTCATGCGAGTCATTGAGTCATGCGAGTTATGCGAGTAAACTGCGTCTGTGTGGCGTCTCCCTTCTCCTGCTGTCCTCTCCATCAGAACCACACAGAACCGCTCTCACACGCATACGTCTCCATCTTACGAAGGCAGGAGACGTGTCAGTCATGCTTCATCATGCTCCATCATGCTCTTGGCTCCACCACCGACCACGTCTTCCCCCTTACCCCTCCTTTCCTCTCCTGGTACCAAGGGGTTCAACCTGGGTCAATTTCTGTCACAACTTCTACCATACGTGGTGGTGGCGACAGCGGTGTCGGCGCTGACGTGGCCGGCGACGTTCTCGTGGTTCAGCAAGCGGTACTACGCGCCCGCACTGGGCGGCATCATGCTATCCATCGGCGTGCAGCTGTCCGTCAAAGATTTCAAGGCCGCCATTGAAAAGTAAGATCTCGCACCGCACGTGCGGCTCGACTGGCCTGGAATGAACTGACCAACTCTTTTCGTTCTGCACCGTGCTTCTCTCTTCTGTGGGTGATCTGGGTTCAATTCTTCCAACGAAATTAAAATGAATGCATACTCGCTTGGCTCCGTCAGTCTGTCCCTCAGTCCCGTTCGTCAGTCTGTCTGCTCTGTTCCTCTCTGGTTTGCTCTAGCACCGGTGCTCACTCCTTTCCCCACCTTCTCTCTTCTCCTCCCGCTCTTCCCCCGCCAGGCCTGTGCCCGTCGTCCTGGGTCTCCTAGTGCAGTACACCGTCAAGCCGCTAATCCCGGCCGCCATAGCCGCCACCTTCCGCCTGCACCCCGCGTTCGCCGCGGGCTTCCTTCTCACCGCCAGCGTGTCCGGCGCGCAGCTCTCCAGCTACGCGTCCTACCTGGCAAAGGCTGATGTAGCGCTCTGCATCGTGCTGACCAGCCTCAGCACTTTCGCCTCCGTGGCACTCACGCCCATCCTCACCTCGCTGCTGATTGGCTCAGCCATCCCCGTCGACCTCCTAGCCATGTCCAAATCCATCCTGCAAGTCGTCATCCTCCCCGTCTCCCTCGGCCTCATCCTCAACACCTACGCGCGGAAATTTGTCGACCAAATTCGACCAGTCATGCCGCTGCTAGCCATAGTCTGCACTTCTCTCTGCATAGGCAGCCCTCTAGCCATCAACCGGTCCCAGATCGTCTGCCTAAGCGGCCTCCTGCTGCTCCCGCCGGTCCTCGCCTTCCACCTCGCGTCCTGCGCCGCTGGGTTCTGGTCCGCGAAGCTTCCTGGAATGGGGCAGAGCGATGATGTGGCGAGGACTTTATCTCTATGCGGTGGCATGCAGAGCAGCGTTCTGGCCATGCTGCTGGCATCGCAGTTCCTAGGGTCCACCCACACTGTGCCGGCCTCCGTATCTGTTGTGCTCATGTCTATCATTGGGCTCAGCCTGGGAAGCTTCTGGGGGTCGGGAAGGAAGCTTCTGGGGGCCTGGGAATATGCTGCTCCAACTGACGGGTAGCGGGGGGGGCAATGCCAGGGTATACATTAGAGAATGACCGGATTTCTGCAGCGTTGTTTGCAGGATAGCTTATCGCAGCTGGACAGGAGAGCGCAAACTGGAAGGTGGACTGAAAACAAGTGGTGAACCATCCTGAGGTTATCCTGAGTTCGATCAACCTCTGATCGCAGCATAAGGCACATCGTCGCCCCAGGGTTACGGCTCTTCTTAGCGAGTTTTACTCTGAAGCGAATACAACAGCTCTCCCTCCCCCCCCGCCCCCCCACAACACCCCCCCCCAACCCGCCCCCGCACTTCTGTTCCCCTAAAAAGGAATAAGTTGTAGACAATAGTGTTACACGAATACGCACGCTGTAGTGGCCCGGTCAGTAGATTTTTCTTTGAAAGGATGAAGACCCGAATTTAAATCCTGGAGTCGGCTATTTCATTCAGAACTCCAACAGAAACACTTCATCAGGGTTTTGAGAATTGTTACGGTACACTGTGGCCTTTGGGTATTTTTTCTAAAACTATGGAAAACCCTGATGGAAAAGTTTTTTTCCAAGGGGTTTTCATCAGGGTTTTGCATAGGTGCAGGACTGATAATAAGGGGAGTCCCCTTGCAAAACTGCTTGCCTCTCCCCTTGCCACTCTACGGTACTTGCCATTCACTCTGCTGCTGCCACCTCCACTGCTGCCAGCCACCACCCTGACCGCTGGTCCTGGCACTCTCAGATGCAATACACCACCTTACCACGCCCACCGCACCGCAGCACCTCAGCTTCACACCATCACCCTCCACCATCCCACACCCCGCAGCACCACACATACGCTCCCCACAAGCAACTGCACCAGGGCCTCCTGAAACTCAAGAGGCCCTGGGGCCTCTCTTTCCGATGCCACATAGACTTTTTTATTATTATTATTATTATAAATGAATAACAGATGCCATCTTCTACCAAATTAATCCCCCCCTGGCTAGTTAAATATCCTCACTACTTGTCACCTCTCCAGGTGAAACTCCAGGCACCTAGGTCCACCATGCAGAGCCACCACTATCCTACGACCTGCAACCATGCTCTAAAATGTTAGTTCATCCTAACCTACGGTACTCCTTAGTAGTCAATCTACAACGCTTTCTCCTCTGCGTCTGTGTGCGCCAAGCGTCAGCCCCTATCTAGCCTTCCAGACCACAAGCATCCCAAGCCTCCACGGAGGCCCCGCAACCCCTCCCGTACCTCCCGCAACCGCATCCCAAGCCGCCCCACCATGTCGCGTTCATCCCTAGGAGCCAACCGTGACATGCTTGTTTGTTGCCGCTCACAGTCTACCCCTGTGCATTCCCTCTTCGGTTTCCCTCCGTCGGCTTCAGACAAACTCCTTAGCCTTCCTGTGCCACGTCGAAATACTTCACATATCGAGCGAACCGTTTTCTCTCCTGGTCCTTATCCAGACACGTGTCCTCCCACTTGTACACGTGGCGGTGCGCCTTCCTCTCCAGCCGGTCCTCGTCGAGATACCGCTGCATCCGGGCCTCCGCCACAGGCGAAAGCTCGTCGCCGAATTGCGCATAGATTCGCTTGATTTCGCTAATCGGGTTTCGCACAAACTCGTGGAATCGAACATCAACGGCCAGTGACGAGTCCCACTGTTGCAACGCATCCGCGCCGTCGGATCGCGCTGCTTCCCGCGTAGCGCAATCGCTGCTCCTGCTGCTCCTCCCGCTGCTGCTGCTCAAGCTCCGCGCCCCTCCCCTGCTGCTGGCGCTGCTGCTACTGTCATCCCCGCTCTCGTCCGCGCTCTCCTCGTCCCCTCCAAAGGCCTCCTCCTCGTCCCCGCTACTGTCCGCTCCAAGCGTCGCCGTTTCGCGCAGGTCAATCATATCATCCAGCGCGCGCGCAAGATGCGGCGCCCACAGCGGCGCGATCATGCTGTTATCCACCGGATCCGACGTCAGCGAGCGGAAGCACCGCATCAGACTATGCGCGGACGAAATCACCTTCACCGGGTCGCGGTGCGTGCAAATAATCCGCGCGTCGGGAAACACCTTAAGCATAGACCGCAAGGAGAAAATATGCTCAGGCGATTTCAGCAGCCACTGCGGCGCCTTGGGGCCCCGCCACTGGAGGTACTTCAGCTGCCATTTGAGAAACTCGTACGTGGGGGTGATATCGGAGCGCATAAACCACTCCAGGTACGTCGGCGCGTTGATGTGCGTGAACGGAATAACAAACGACGTCATGTCGTAGCACATGAGCTCGAACGTCTCCTGCGGGCCTTCCGGGTACATGGGGTGGATGGTGTGCAGATCCGGGATCACCGCGTGCACTGCACGCAGCGAGTCGTCCATCAGCGCAACGCGCGGGTCCGTGCGGAAGGTTTCCGCCTGCGGCGGCGGGTACATGTAGCGGCACTCCCACGAACGCGGCGAGCGGAACCGCTCGTAGTCGAGCGACAGCAGGTTGTACAGCAGCGTCGTGCCGGTGCGCGGCATTCCCAGGATAACCATCGGCGCGCGAATCTGCTGCTCCTCGATTTCCGGGAACCGCTTGCGGCAGTCGATGAGGCGCAGCCGGCCTTGCAGCATGCGCTGCACGTCGAGCCAGATGGCGATGCGGCCGAACGGCGTGAGACTCGCGTACTTCTCCGTGTCGCGCACGCAGAGCGCGAGACCCTTGAGGAACCCCGTGTCGCCGAAGTCGTTCAGTCCGGTGCACCACGACGCGACCCGGAGCATCGATTCCACGTCGGTTGGGAGGAACCAGTGCGACGGGCGGAACCATGGCGCGTATGTCCCAGACAGCTTAGCGGTCCAGTTGACAGCCTTGACAGCGGCCGGCAGCACGACGTCAAGAACGGCCTGCACGCGCGCGCGAGTGGATGTGGGCTTGGATGGCGCGAAGATGGCGTACGGCGACTCGCCCTCTCGCAGCGCGAAGGAACAGGCTGTCTTGAGGGACGTGAGAGTCGCATCGGAGGTGCCGTCCTGCGTCGCAGCGGGCTTGAAGTCGACCGGGCCAAGACCTGCCCATCGCGATGCGACGACGAAAATAACACACAGGGTGGACGCGAGAGTTGCGAGCGCGATGCAGGCTAAAGTAGCGAGGATTGCGGTGAGATTAGAACGAAACGGCGAGCTATTAGGCGTGATCTGCGCGTCAGCAATAGCGTCTGCACTAGCACGATCCTGGTTGGTGTCGCCTGCGAGGGCTACAGAGAGCGTCCACGCAACGCATGCTACTAGGACCAGAACTCGCATTAGAGACTCTTGGCGCAGGGCAAGAGAGAACCGCCATTGACTCCTCATCAGATAGTTCGAGCGCGAATATGGCGGGATTTTTCGATATGGACTACTCGCGGCAGTAGTGCTAGGCGAGTGGAAGCTAAAGCTTTTACAACAGCCACTGCTTGTGGTCGAGTCAATGAAAGGATCCAATAATGTGAAACTTTAGGAGCTAATCGGAAGTTTGACAATCCCTCACCGGAAAGAGCATCTAGAAGCTCAATGAAAGTGCTCTGGGGCACCAAGAAGCTAGACGTGGCGGTGATGCTCGGTGCGAGTCGCCAGCAACAAATGTTTCTGCCTTGATGGATGGGATGGGAGGGATGGAGGTGAAGGGTCATGGCACGGGATGAGATGAGTGGAGAGGTGGAGAGGCGGGGAGGGGATGGATGACAAGGCAAGCAACAGAGGAAATGACGAACCGCGTTTCCAATTCCAACGGGCTGCGGCTCTGACAGCGCATCGCTCCGTGCTCCCGCCCAATTTCCCACGGGCAGTTGATATGTACAACTCGTTTGAAGTTATTTTCCCGCTATTCTCTCACATTCGGTTTCTGCCCAATCCGACAAATGGCGCTCCCACGTTTGCCCGCCGTCGAAGTTTCCCACCAGGGTTGCAATTTGGGCAGGGTGGAATCAAGAAGGGGTGCTGCCTCGCTTCGGACACCGCGGATTTTATGCCTGACGACCAAACATGCGATCACAAAATCTAACACCGACCAATGAGACTGTTAGGGCGTGTAACATTTTTTATCCGACCAGGCCTAAGTGCCGACCAAATGGCTGGGTCTGGCAAATGGGAAGGTGTATAATATGTTTCGGCTTTTGCCTAATGCATGCAGATTTTGAAAGTGCTAATTTGCAAATGCATGCAAACGGAAAAATGTCGGCCTGTCGGCAAAACCATGCGGTTACCTGTGTTAGGTTGAGGCTCCCCCAGTCGCATGCCATCCAGATGGGTTTATATTTTTCTGACCGCGGGCAGATAACAATCCGTCAGCCTCTTTCCCCTACGGCCGTCTATTGTATGCATATGCATAGTCGCACTGGCATAAGTTGAATGCCGTTGAAAATGGCCCATAAAGTTTAGGCGCACATTTCGAACACAATGAGCATATTGTACGTGGGGCACCCACCCTAAGGGCGTATAACATTGTAAAGGCCAATCCAAATTGTGGAACATTTGCGTGTTTCATGAGAGCGTGAAATGTGTAACGTGTAAGCGAACCCCGCCAAAAAATTCATCAGCATCTTGTCAAATTATGCACTTAAAGTGCTGTAGTCTATACCGGGGCACACTGTAGAGGGGACACCCATGTTAGCGTTCATTACTTGTATCCCCATCCTGCATAGTTCATTCATTCATGTTTCCATATTCTAACATGGTATTAGAGTAGGTTCGCTCATTAGGGCCCACCGAACATTTTGCCCTGCCCGGACTTGTAAACTTATTTTTTCTGCCCTGTTACCTAGCGCCAACGCGCGCCTTACTGCCCTGCCCGCACGCGCCCCTGCTGCCATATCCGCGCGTGCGCCCTGCTGCCCTGCTTGAGCGCCGCCCTGCCCACGCGCGCTTTGCCTGCAGGTGTGTCGCCCTGCCTGCCCGCGCACTCTCCACGCGCACCCTGCTGCCCACCCGCGCGCTGCCCGCATGGGTTTTGCCGGCCCTGCCCGTGCGCTTTGCCCACCAACGCACTGCCTTGCCCCGCACTCGCACTGCCCCGCTAGCGCGCCCTACACCTACCCGTACGCGCACCATCTACTGCCCTGCCAGCGCGCCACGCGCCCTGCCCTGCCATCGCGCCACGCGCCCTGCCCTGCCTACGCCACGCTGTCAGGCATATATGCGATAGTCTGTGTAGGCTGTAGTGGGGCAGTTCATATGGGGTACAACACTTTAGGGTTTGCTACTTGTACTCCCCTTTCTGCTCAATGCATTCATTCTCGTTTCTCGTCATGGTATCGAGCAGGTTCCCTAGTGGGAACGCTACCTAGGGCCCACCACGATACTTTTTTTTCCTGCCTGGAGCGCGCTTCACTCCTGCCCGAGTCGCGCTCTGTGTGCCCTCCCTACCTTCGAGCCGCCCTTAGTGGCCCCTCTCACGGCCCCTTTGGCCGCCCTTACGGCCCCTCGCGCCGCCCTTACGGCCCCTCGCGCCGCCCTCTACGGCCCCTCGCGCCGCCCTTACGGCCCCTTACGGCCCCTTAAGGCCCCTCGCGTCGCCCTTACGGCCCTCGCGCCGCCCTCTACGGCCCCTCGCGGCGCCCGTTCCGGCCCCTTACGGCCCTGTCTAGGCCCCTTGCGACCCCGCTACGGCCCCGTCTAGGCCCCTTACGGCCCCTCCGCGGCCCCGTCTAGGCCCCTTGCGGCCCCACTACGGCCCCGTCTAGGCCCCTTACGGCCCCTCCGCGGCCCCGTCTAGGCCCCTTGCGGCCCCGCTACGGCCCCGTCTAGGCCCCTTACGGCCCCTCCGCGGGCCCGTCTAGGCCCCTTGCGGCCCCGCTACGGCCCCGTCTAGGCCCCTTACAGCCCCTCCGCAGCCCCGTCTAGGCCCCTTGCGGCCCGCTACGGCCCCGTCTAGGCCCCTTACGGCCCCTCCGCGGCCCCGTCTAGGCCCCTTGCGGCCCCGTCGCCACCACGTGCGGCCCCGTCGCCGCCACCAGCGGCCTCGTCGCCGTCACCTGCGGCCCCGTCGCCCTCCCCTAGCGGCCCTGTCACCGCTCAGCCGCCCAGCAACCGAGCCGCCCAGCAGCCCAGCAGCCGAGCCACCCTGCCGCCGAGCCGCCCAGCAGCCTAACCGCCCTGCCGCCAAGCCGCCCAGCAGCCGAGCAACCCAGCAGCCGAGCCGCCCTGCCGCCGAGCCGCCCAGCAGCCGAGCCGCCCAGCAGTCGAGCCGCCCTGCCGCCGAGCCGCCGAGCCGCCCTACTGTCGAGCCGCTGCTGTTCCTACCGGTGCTCTCCGGCCCTCCTTCCTCGGACTGGTGAGCTCACTTCCTGCTAGGCCACTGCAGTCATGGCTACCCCCAGTGTCCTTACTTTTGATGCTGAGGGCCGTGCCATTGACTTTGAGGTCTGGGTCGATGACCTCCAGCTCTTTCTCTAGTGCGATAGGGCAGACGGACTCTCTCTGTTCGATCTCACCTCTGGTGTCTCTCGTGCCCCGCCTGCCACTGCTGGCAGCACTGTTTGCTCACAGTGGGCCACACGCAATGCTGCTGCTTGCCTTGCTGTGCGTCGCCACTTACCGACCACTGAGCGTGCACACTTTAGCCAGTACAAGAGTGCTCAGACCTTGTACGACGCTGTAGTTGCACGCTACTCTTCCCTTGCCACTGCTGCACTGAGCCGCCTCATGCTACCGTACCTCTTCCCTGACCTTGCTACCTTTCCCACAGTCGCTGACCTCATTACGCACCTTCGCACTAGTGACACTCGCTACCGCGCTGCGCTTCCTGCTGAGTTTTGTGCCAAGAACCCCCCCCCCCCCCCCCCCCCCCATGTGCATCACCCTCTACTACATAGTCACCCAACTCCCTGACTCTCTTCGCGTAGTCAGGGACCACTTCCTCTCATTTTGCCCCACCACTCTCACCGTTGACCTCCTCGAGAAGGGCCTCCTAGCAGCAGAGAAGAGCATAGTCGCTGTAGGAGCCTCTCGTGGTGACCCTCGCACCCCCGTCTTTAAGGGGTGTTCCCCCTCCCCCCTCTGGCCCTCTGTTGCTTCTGCTGCTGCGGGCGACCTCGTTGGTTTCGAGTCGGTCGGCGCGGCGTCTGCCCCTAGCGGGAGACGCCGCACCGGCAAGGGCAAGGGGGGCAAGGGCGCTAGAGGGGCTGGCGGGGGCGGTGGAGGTGGTGGTGGAGGCAGTGGAGGGGGTGGGGGTGGTGGTGGGAGTGGTGGCGGGGGTGGCGGCGGCAGCGGCAGCAGTGGAGGCGGAGGAGGCGGCGGTGGTGGCGGAGGGAGCGGAGGCGGCGAAGGTGGTGGAGGAGGCGGAGGTGGAGGAGGCGGCGGAGGTGGCGGCGGCAGCAGTGGACCTGGTCGCAGCTATGCGCAGAGGAGTGGCTCCAGTGGTGGTACGCGCCAGCAGCATCAGAGCAGTCGTGAGACCTTGTCCCCTCAGCAGCTTCGTGAGTGGTACGCTGCGCGTCAGCGCGGTGGGGGTACGGGTCCCTGCACCTACGTTCTCCGCACCAGCGACCGCGCTGGTGAGCAGTGCGGGGGCCCGCACTCCACCCAGCGCTGCTTTGGCCGCCTGACGGACGCGTGGCGTCACCAGTTCCCTTGGGCCTTTGAGATCCCTCGCTGGGGAGAGCTGTCTAGGGCGGGGGTTGCTATCTTTGATCTTGATTTTGATGCTATTCTTGCTGCCATGTATGCTGTTGATGATAGTGTTGCAGGTGACTGTTACCTGTGTGTACCGCCTGACCCGGGCATTGAGGCTGCTGCTCTAGGTGCTCGTGCGTCTGCTGCTCCAGATGCCAGTGCGTCTGCTGCCCCACGTGCTGGTGAGTCTGCGCTCTCAGGTACTACGTCGGCTCAGGCCTTACACACCTTCACCCTTGACTCGGGTGCGTCTCGCTCCTTCTTTTGAGACCGCACCACTCTTACGCCGCTCAGTCGGCCAGTTGCAGTCTCCCTGGCGGACCCCTCTGGGGGTCCTGTCCTTGCTAGCTTCTCGACTGTCTTAGCGTGCGCGGCAACCCCCTCTGGCACCCTGTCAGGTCTCTACCTCCCCTCGTTCTCTACGAACTTGGTGAGTGGAGCGGACCTACAGGATAGGGGGGTTGACCAGTTCACTCCTGCGAGTCAGCGGGTGACCCACTGCACGTGTGCTCGGACAGGCCGACACTTGAACACGTTCACCAGTCGTCCAGGGTCGAGCCTGTACACCCTTACTACTGAGTCTCCACCGGCTCCTGAGTCTGCCCAGGTAGCTGCGTCGAGTCAGGTGTTTTCTGCAGCGTCCAGGGCTGGTCCTAAGTCTGCTCCCTGCTCGTGTCGTCTACTGTCCCACCAGACTCTCCTTTGGCACCACCGCCTTGGTCACCCCTCCCTGCCTCGTCTCCGAGGCATGGCCTCCCGTGTCCTTGTCTCTGGTCTCCCTCGGTCTCTCCCTCCCCTACCTCCGGGGCCTGGCCCTACCTGCGTCCCCTACGTTGAGGGGCGACAGCGCGCCGCCCCTCACTCCTCCGAGTTTCCTCCGATAGAGGCTCCGCTGCAGACTCTCTGTGAGAGTACGACGGCTTATGCTAGCTATGCTTGCTTGCCTCTACTTTATCATGCTATTTCTAGCATAGGATAATCATATGCATGCATGAATTGCTTGATTTCCTAGGCTAGGTGCTTTCCTATATTTTATTATAGTTATAGCACCGAGCTAGGTTGCGTGCACTGAATTCTGGCTTTTCGGTTGCCACCGAATTGCCTTCTACCGAATTCGGCAAGGATCTGTTCGGGACGCTTCGCAACCCGCGGAACCTTCGCGTAACACCTGGTTACGGGGCCTTGTGTCGAGCCTATATATAGCCTCGTGTTGTACCTAGGTGATCATTCAATTCAATTTGAATCATCTTTTCTGAGCTCGATCCCAGATCCTCACACTTGGTAATCAGAGCGGGTTTACACGCGAGGTCTTCAACCGCTTAGTTCCGGCCTTTAAAAACCGCGGGGGCGACGACGAAAGCGCCGATACGGGTATGTAAAACCAGTTCCGCGCAATTTTTCTAAGTTCTCCTCGATTCGGTTTTCGAACACCCCTGAGATTTACTGGTGGAAAGGTTGGAGTTTCGACCGTTCGATCGAGTTTCATCTCAACGGCCCAGAGAATTTCGCCCAAAAAAGTTACAATTTGGAGCGTCGGATCGATTTTCTCCTCAACGGCCAAGATCGGACGCGAATTTCGCCTAAGGGAGATTTACGCAACCTACAGAATTCGCGCTCATCGATTCTACAGTCAATTTGACTCGCAGTAAGTCGACCAGCACCTAGAATTCGATTATTTTCGTCGCGCATCTTCCTGTAAATCACCAAATGGAGGGCCAAGGCGACAACTACGCGACTACCAGCGACATCGCGAGCCTCCGCACCGACATGGAGCAGACGCAGGCGACGCTTCGTCGACTCGAGGGTTTTCTGACAAGCCAACCAGGGTTCGCCACCGCAGCAGCAGCGACCACAACGACTACAGCACCGACAACTCCAGCAGCAGTGGCGACACCGACATTTCACGGACCAATGGCACCACTGTCGCCGAACCTCGAAGCAGCACGACCGAGGCTCCCGGAGGCGTTCGATCCAAGCGCGAAGGGATCCGACGTCCGGCGATTCGTGGCCACCCTCGAAATTTACTTCGAGGCTATTGGCTGTTCGACCCCGCAACACGACGCAACAAGGATTCGGCTCGCAGCGACACTGTTACGTGGACCGGCTCTCGAATGGATTTAGTACACCGACGTAGCCCGCGGGGAGAAAATGTGGCAGCAGTTTCGGGCATATTTAATCGAGCGTTTCGAACCAATTAATACAACCTACATGGCGCGGCAGCAGATACACCGACACAAGCAATACAGTAGTGTAACACAGTACACGCAGCAGATGGAGTTACTGTTCAACCGCATCACCGACCTGACCGAAGGCGAAAAAATCCAGGCGTACACCGAAGGATTAAAAATGGAGGTTCGGCGGCAGGTGATTGCGGCGAATTACAACAGCTACAGACACATCGTGCGTGCTGCCGAGCGATACGACGCGCTGACTCGAAGTCAACCCGAAACACGACGCTTCACGCCGAACCGTACATTCGGCACGGAGCGATCGGCACCCCCCACGTTGACCGAACCGATGGATATCGACAAATACGACGCGAAGCAGCAGCCGACAAAATGCGAATTTTGCGGCGCAGCAGGACATCAGTTTTTGTCGTGCTACAAAATGAAGAATGCACGTGCGGCACTCCGGGACGGAAACAGTGGAGCACCCCCGAAGTAAAAAAACGGGAATCGCCAGTAGTCGCGGATCGACCTGGCGATCGCGTAAAGATCCGAAAAGCAGGAAAAGGCGACGATGGGCGACTTCGGAGCAGGTGAAAAAAGGAGAAAATGATGGCGCGTATTTGAAACGTCACGACCGGCCGGCATCAGGGGAAATCGCCGAGGCGAATGGAGGCTCCGCGAAAAAAGACTCTGCACCGACCGGGAAACTCCAGCCGAACACCCACGAAAGTAAGAATTCGTTAAAAGTATCCTATAAAGATGCTCTAACGAAGAATATTGCTTCTCGTGGTTTACAAGCCTTCAAAAAATTTAGGGGAGGTCTAGAGGCCAAGAAAAAGCCTTTAGAAATTATTCAGGTACCTGAGAAGTTGGGCAAAGTACTACGGAGCGTAGAAAAGGGTCGTGCGTTCCGTGGAGTTAATATTCTCTCCCCGCAGCACAGTGTTAAGGCTCCCCGTCGCCCACAGGTGAAGCCTACACAGCTGCCAAGGCTTAGAGGAGACATCCAGGCTCAGGAGAAATTATACAAGCCTCGGAAAAATCCTCCTACCCCCCAGGTGAAGTTGGAAAGCGCTAAGTCAGGTATAGGAAAAAGGGAAGGTATTAAGTTTGATGTACCCTATGATCCTATTAACAAGACCCTCTTTGGCTACTCAGCACAGCAGAAACCACTACTCCTCGAGGTGTTATGCAATGGGCGACGACTCCAGGCACTAGTGGACAGCGGTGCATCTCACTCGGTGTGTGACCGCGGAGCATTGGAGAAAATTGGAGAGAAGGCGGAAGAGACCCAGTTTTCAGCAACCATGGTGGACGGTACGAAGCTTCCTATCCACGGCGAAGCATCACTGCAACTGCATATAGGTGCGTTGAGGTGGAAGCCGAAGCTACCAGTCACCAACATCAAAGGATTAGATTTTATCTTGGGGCGAGATTTCCTGAAGCGGTTCAACCCCGAGATCGATTGGGTCAACAGCAAGGTGTGCATCTACAACAATGGGAAGCGGATAGCACTACGAAGCTGGACGGATACAGGGGACGTACCTGAAACGACACTGGCATGGTTCGAACGGACGGTGAACAAGAGTAACACGGGTTTCCTAGCACTGGTTATGGCAGCAGCAGAGGAGGAGAAGCCGAGTTTCGAGCTACCTGCAGCAGTGAAAGAGGTCTTGGAGCAGTACAAGGATATAATGCCCGACGACCTACCTGCAGGCGTACCTCCAGCACGCACCCACGAGCACGAGATCGTGGAGGAACCAGGTGCGAAACCCGTCTCACGTGCACCATACCGACTGAGTCCGACTGAACTGACAGACATGAAAAAACAGATAGAGTATCTACTGGACAGACAACTGATCCGCCCATCCACCTCTCCCTACGGCGCACCAGTTCTCTTCAATCCAAAACCAGACGGCAGTCTACGGATGTGCATCGACTACCGCGCACTGAACAAACAGACAGTAAAAAACAAATATCCCATCCCGCGCATAGACGACCTACTCGATCAACTGCGTGGAGCAACAGTATTTTCGAAGCTGGACCTACGATCGGGCTACTGGCAGATCAAGATGGCAGACAACTCCGTCCACAAGACAACGTTCCGTACCAGATACGGCTCCTACGAATACTTGGTGATGCCGTTCAGACTCTGCAACGCACGAGCAACGTTTCAGGCGGAGATGAATCACATCTTACGACCCCTGCTGGACGAATGCGTGGTGGTGTACCTGGACGACATTCTCATCTACTCGAAGAACATGAAGGTGTCAGAACATATCTATAGCTTATACTGCTGTGTAGGCTGTAGTGGGGTATCCCATAGGGGGTACAACCCAGTTAGGGTTTCATATTTGTACTGCTTTCATTCATAGTTCATCTCATTCCTGCTTACTCATTTTCACATGGTATAGAGCTAGGTCCCTCCAGGACCGAAATTTTTTTTTTGGGCCCACCGAAGCGCGCCCCCGAGGCGCGATTTTTTTTAGCGACCCCTCGAGTCGCCCTCTCCCCTGCGGCCTCGCCGCCCACTCTGTCGCGGCCCCGCCCTGCTCCTTACGCGGCCCCGCCCTGCTCCTTACGTGGCCCCGCCCTGCTCCTTACGCGGCCCCGCCCCGGCCCTTACGCGGCCCCGCGTCGCCTCCTACGCGGCCCTTACGCGGCCCCGCGCCGGCCCCTTAAGCGGCCCTTACGCGGCCCTTACGCGGCCACGCCGCCGGCTCCTTACGCGGCCCCGCGCCGGCCCCTTACGCGGCCCTTACGCGGCCACGCCGCCAGCTCCTACGCGGCCCCGCGCCGGCTCCTTACGCGGCCCGTCCCCGGCCCCTACGCGGCTCCGCGCCGGCTCCTACGCGGCTCTTACGCGGCCCCGCGCCGGCCCCCCCCCCCCCTTACGCGGCCCTGACGCGGCCACGCCGCCGGCTCCTACGCGGCCCCGCGCCGGCTCTCACGCGGCCCCGCAGCTGGCTCCTACTCGGCCCCGCAGCCGGCCCCTTAAGCGGCCCCACCGCCGGCCTCCTACTCGGCCCTGCCCTGGCTCCTATCACGGCCCCGCCCCGGCTCCTTCGCGGCCCTGCCCCGGCTCCTACGCGGCCCTACC